AGAGGGGACCCGTGATATGCTATGCAGAAGTATTGTCTCGTTCTAGTCAACTTCAAGCTCATTACATCAACAACTGATTTGAGGTTCTCAACGAACAGCTGAAAATGCTTGTCGCGGTTTTTAAAACAAAAGTATCACCTGATTCTATATAATGTAGATTTGATGTAATTTATTCTGAAAAATGATAAAATAAAAGTTTTCGCCCTGTTTGTATCCAACTCTATTTTGTATTTTCATTACTTATTCGTGTACGCATGTTCTAATGGTCGGGGTGCCGTGTTGTTGTCTTTTATTCCCCAAAAAAACAACCTAATGGTTGGGATGTAGTCTGTTTCTCATAAAGCAACCTAGTGACTGGGATGTCATCTGTTTCTCATAAAGCAACCTAGTGACTGGGATGTCATGTTTCTCATAAAGCAACCTAGTGACTGGGATGTCATCTGTTTCTCATAAAGCAACCTAGTGACTGGGATGTCATCTGTTTCTCATAAAGCAACCTAGTGACTGGGATGCCATCTGTTTCTCATAAAGCAACCTAGTGACTGGGATGTCGTCTGTTTCTCATAAAGCAACCTAGTGACTGGGATGTTATCTGTTTCTCATAAAGCAACCTAGTGACTGGGATGTTATCTGTTTCTCATAAAGCAACCTAGTGACTGGGATGTCGTCTGTTTCTCATAAAGCAACATAGTGACTGGGATGTCGTCTGTTTCTCATAAAGCAAACTAGTGACTGGGATGTCATCTGTTTCTCATAAAGCAACCTAGTGACTGGGATGTCGTCTGTTTCTCATAAAGCAACATAGTGACTGGGATGTCATCTGTTTCTCATAAAGCAACCTAGTGACTGGGATGTTATCTGTTTCTCATAAAGCAACCTAGTGACTGGGATGTTATCTGTTTCTCATAAAGCAACCTAGTGACTGGGATGTCGTCTGTTTCTCATAAAGCAAACTAGTGACTGGGATGTCATCTGTTTCTCATAAAGCAACATACTGACTGGGATATCTGTTTCTCATAAAGCAACCTAGTGACTGGGATGTCGTCTGTTTCTCATAAAGCAACATACTGACTGGGATGTCATCTGTTTCTCATAAAGCAACCTAGTGACTGGGATGTTATCTGTTTCTCATAAAGCAACCTAGTGACTGGGATGTCGTCTGTTTCTCATAAAGCAACATAGTGACTGGGATGTCATCTGTTTCTCATAAAGCAACCTAGTGACTGGGATGTTATCTGTTTCTCATAAAGCAACCTAGTGACTGGGATGTTATCTGTTTCTCATAAAGCAACCTAGTGACTGGGATGTCGTCTGTTTCTCATAAAGCAAACTAGTGACTGGGATGTCATCTGTTTCTCATAAAGCAACCTAGTGACTGGGATGTCATCTGTTTCTCATAAAGCAACCTAGTGACTGGGATGTCATCTGTTTCTCATAAAGCAAACTAGTGACTGGGATGTCATGTTTCTCATAAAGCAAACTAGTGACTGGGATGTCATGTTTCTCATAAAGCAAACTAGTGGCTGGGATGTCATGTTTCTCATAAAGCAAACTAGTGACTGGGATGTCATCTGTTTCTCATAAAGCAAACTAGTGACTGGGATGTCATGTTTCTCATAAAGCAAACTAGTGACTGGGATGTCATGTTTCTCATAAATAAAGCAAACTAGTGACTGGGATGTCATGTTTCTCATAAAGCAAACTAGTGACTGGGATGTCATGTTTCTCATAAAGCAAACTAGTGACTGGGATGTCATGTTTCTCATAAAGCAAACTAGTGACTGGGATGTCATGTTTCTCATAAAGCAAACTAGTGACTGGGATGTCATGTTTCTCATAAAGCAAACTAGTGACTGGGATGTCATGTTTCTCATAAAGCAAACTAGCGGCTGGGATGTCATGTTTCTCATAAAGCAAACTAGTGACTGGGATGTCATGTTTCTCATAAAGCAAACTAGTGACTGGATGTCATGTTTTCTCATAAAGCAAACTAGTGACTGGGATGTCATGTTTCTCATAAAGCAAACTAGCAGCTGGGATGTCATGTTTCTCATAAAGCAAACTAGTGACTGGGATGTCATGTTTCTCATAAAGCAAACTAGTGACTGGGATGTCATGTTTCTCATAAAGCAAACTAGCGGCTGGGATGTCATGTTTCTCATAAAGCAAACTAGTGACTGGGATGTCATGTTTCTCATAAAGCAAACTAGTGACTGGGATGTCATGTTTCTCATAAAGCAAACTAGTGGTTTATGTGTCATCTATTTCGCAATTCAAAGGCTGGTGAGGAGTCTCTTTCTTATGAAGGAATCTGATATCTGGTGTATTGTTGGTCTCTCAGTCAGAGATTATCTTATTACCTTTGAAATATCAATACCTGATTGCCCCATGAGGCAACTGAAATAGCTGGAGAAATAAATTCACAAGCAAACTAGACAACATAAGAACAAATTGCTTTCCAAATACAGTGCCAGTTTCTTCCAGTGCATAATTTCTTCTTTACCCCCCCCCCCCCCCCCCCCCCCCCCCCCCCCCCCCCCCCCAATTTCTGCTAAATCATTTCATACCATCTAAACCTCTGCTATGTCAAATCAGTGATGGCTGTTTCACTTAGAGGTTCCTGTGCCCCCCCCCCCCCTTTTTTCCTTTTTTTTTCGTATTACAGTCTTCTTCTTTGCGTTCACCAGCTGTACACTCTGGCGGAAAGTTCTGGTTGCTCGTCCTCTACTTAACTGTTAACTGCAGTTCTGCTCCAGTGTTGCTTGTGCATTAGTTTTACAGATCTCATTCTCTTGAATACAGACTGTTGGTTCCTTGCCTCTCCGACAGATGAACTCCGACTTCAAAGGAAGCTCCCCAATTAAGTCTACTCTTACGACATGCTTTTGAGGAGGCAGTGGGTCTATTGTTTTCCCCACAATGGGGCCCCGAACCCACACAGGAGGGGGGGGGGGGGGGTATTACAGTCTGTAGTATCAGCATTCCAGAGCTGAGAATCAAAGTTATAAATCCCACAAACGTTGTTACCTGCATAGCGCTGACATATTGAGGAATGACAAAACAGTTACGAAGTAACTTGTGCACAAGTGTGGGTGGATCTGAGCTTTGTTAACACTAACACCGTCTGCAGAACCAGGAATTTGGCCTAATTCTAGAGGAATATATGTTAACACTCATGCTGCAAGTGAAATAACCATCGAAAACCACCGCCAAACTGGCACAAAAGGGAACTGACTGAAGCTATAGAAAGGAATAATCCAGGTAGAGTAGTGACACCTACATAGTTAGTTGCGTATCCTTTACAGGACGTTGCAGAACCAACCCCAACAGCCCCTGGCTGTTGTGTGGTCTCTAGGCAAATTTATGTCCAGTAGTTTGCCATTACTTTACCAATGTCGAAACCAACGGAAGGCGCATTGCCCTAAGCTAGGATCAAACCTGGCATCCTGGCATTACGAAGCTAAGCGTTCGCAACGACTAAGCCACAGAGCGAACTACATGTAGAAAAAAAGTGATTCTTAAAATGTGTGGGTATCTGAGGTACCGGACCCACTTCTCCCCTAACAAGCATGTCATAAGAGTTGCCTAATTAGGGGCTTCCTTCAAAGTCAGAAAGCATCATCTTGAGAAAGATGAAAGCATGTCTAAATACAAAAAAAAAAATATCTGTCAAACGCAAAACTAATTTTTTGTATCAAGATGGAAGTCCAGACAGAAGTGGACCAACCAAAACTTTCTATTACAGACGGTGAACAGAGAGGATCTGGCTAAAGAAAGTTGTGAAAGTGTAGAGAGGAATAACTGCAGAACTGGTAGGCATCAGTCAGAAAGACCACTCTGGTGTATTTGTTGAGCTATTGCCTGTTCAGGAAAGAACATGGCACTGGAAGTGCATCTACCTAGGCTCTGTGGTTGGAAAAATATGAAGCTGATTCTCCAGTAAATGAACAATTCTGATTCGATTTCTAGGTCAAAATGGCATATAAATTACCTGACCACTGGCACTTTGAAAAAATGGTTGTTTCTAGCGAGGGTTTGAATGTGCAAACTGGACTAGGAGTCCACAAGCACCATCAGCTACTCGGTCAGTTGTTTGGTACAACTCTTAGCTGTGGATTTTAACATATGGTATGTTTTCCTGTTGTATCCAATACTTTTTGCAAACTGCACTAAAAACTGGGTGGTTGATTATGTTCAGACTGGCATGTAGTTATGCAGTACTCCATGTACTGCCTTATGGCATTTACTTTGTATGTGCACGCTTTCTTGTCCACAATTAAACTGGAAACTCAACTAATTTTATATGCTACAGGTTGTCAAAATACAGGCTGTTTCCCTTTTCATTCAAACAAGGACAGTTGGGGCATCCTGTGTGGTTTTTAGTTGGCACTGGAACAGCAATAATGGTGCAACACATTTGCCGTCAAGCAACCGGGAACATTTATGTAAAAATCCAACTGTAGTCAAGTTGAACCAGGTCGCCTTAATCCGTAGACTAGCGGTGCTATCTTCTAATCTACTATTATAAGTCAAGCTATAAGCACACACAGGCATTCTCAAACAGTAAGCGTACAAAGCAAACCAGCTAAACATGTTTTTCCAACTTATGATACTGAATTTATTTGCATGAATTTCATAACAAATACACAAAAACCATTTCCACAGAAGAGGTGGTAGTAATAGCTACACAACAACCAGCCGGCTCTGGGCGGAGACACCAATGTTCTATTACACCAGTCTCTAGCCTGTGTCACAAATACTACCCCAACTACATCAAAATTTACTTCTTGCAGTTAATATAAAATACTTCAATTTGCCCGAAATTCCTCGGGAAACAGAGCTGAAAAATCCATGCAAAAACTGTTGCCTAAAGCACTGTTCTTTCAAAGCATGAACAAGATATTATTTGTTACTTTGTTAAACACACCATTACATCAGGTATCCCTTGTTTGGTTAAACTATATGAAATAATATATTTGTCTAGGTCCGCGGCTAGTGTGTTAAAATGCAAACAGCAGCAAAAAGGCCATCATCAGACAGAAGAGACCCATAGCTTCGGACAGGGCAAACCCCAAGATGGCGAAGGAGAAGAGCTGGCCCTTCAATGAGGGGTTGCGGGCATAGCCTATCACCAGGCTTCCAAAGACACTGCCAATTCCAGCACCTGAAATGAAAAAAAAAAAACTGCATAAAGATTGGTAGTTTCAACAAATTACAGGGATGAATTTATTTTTTAAACAGATCCCTTTTAAAGCCTTTTTTTTAAAGATTCTTATGGCCATAAAGGTTTTAAGCACCATTTCAAATATTAAATAAAGGCGTCCGTGAAGAACCATCACTTTCTTTCCCTCTTGTACACTGGACAAAATGATACTTCACATCTCATACCTTCTCACTTGGACAAACTGATATCTAGTAGCAGAACTGTTCCATCAGTGGTTCCATGTAAAGCAGCCATCATTAAAGTCTGGATGTTACAATTATTCATCACAAGAAATCAGCTCTGCTGCTTTACTTTTCTAAAACTAGTTTAATCAAACATTTAACTTTCTTTGACTTGACACCGCAGACGTGTATCAAGTTTGTTTTTTTGCTGGGGGAGGGGCGCTTAATGGGCATTATTGAAGCCACACTTCTCAGTTTTTTGTCTTCAAACTGTGCCCTCCAATGTTTCTACGAGCAAGCTATACCTTTCACAATATGTACCGAAAACAGCGTAATTTATGAAATCTGTGTAATTGAGTATTAATACACAGTAATGTGCCTAAAATGAAATCAATCAGTACTCAATTTCTATAAATTTAATGTGCATTTTAAAACAGTCAATACTGAGTGCAAATTGTGGGTAAGAAAAAACTTGAACACTTCATTTTAACACTGACTTCGGTTACCTAGGTCAACACAGCCTTAAAAAAAAGTACCAGAACACATTCTGGTATATAAAGACCCTTATACCCATTTTCACACACCCACGTAGTGTTAGTACTCAAAATAAACTGACTCAAGCCTGTTTATAATACTACTACACAAATCATGTATGTGCGAACAATGATCTGAAATCTAAATGAACTGTTCCCATCAGTGGTTCCATGTACAGCAGCCATCATGAAGTCTGGGTGTATCCTACAATTCATCATCACATGAAACCAGTTCTACTGCCCTCCTAATAAATCAGTTAAAGTTTCCCAAAGCCGGTGATGACCCCCCTAGGCACGAAAATTGCCACAGATTCACTGGGGAAGTCAGAACAATCCTTATGGATTGGGAGGGGGGTGTTAATGCATAAGACAAATGGGGGAAACCCTAGCTATTTGTTTTAACAAGTGTTAAACTCAGTGATTATTTCCTTGTTTATTAATGCAAATTTTGATGCCTTAAGAATAATTTTTTTTTGCATTTTCAACACAAGTAATTTTAACAAAAATCAGAAGTATTTTTTATTTTATTTTTATATACCTCTCTATATAAATTAATAATGGGCTTTTAAAACTAAAAATGTTAGTGAAGTCAAAAACAGACCTTAGTCAAGATTTTGCGCACAAGAGAAAAAATATATATAAACGAAAACACAGCTTACAATTGGTAGAAGGACACATGGGATGTCAACCAAACACTGAAGTCCCACCCCACATACATAAAATGTGCTGTGATATTATGGTGGGGAAAATACTTTTAAATTGTGACACCGTGATATCACCTTACTCCCAGAGATGGAAAGCAGTTCAAAGGGAGGAAAAGCACTTAATTTTTGTTTCTGTATTTAATGCTTTATTACCTAACTTTTAAAAAAAATTGTACACAAAAAGTGAGTTAAAACACACTTTATGTGCATTATTTTAGTGATGTGGCAGTGGTGTAGTTGCTATGGACTTTAGCAACAAAAATAATTTATGACTGCCGGTCACCACAACATGAAGAACTGTATTCATTAAAGGGCTGCAGCTTTATAAAGGTTGAGAACCACTGCTCTAGTATCTTAGGGTAGAGTTTCAGAGAATTATAGAAATGTCTTTCTTTTTTTTTTTTTACGTATCCAGAAACCATGAGTTGTAAACCCTTTGGCTCGGTACTATGGATATCGCAACCCTTCGGCATTGATTCCATTATAGGTACCGTTAATCTGGGAGAAATGTGGCTTTTCTGCCTACCCCCGGGAGTGAACCCGGACCACAAGGAGTTTGTCACCCGGCCGCCGCGAAAGTCAGGTTTAACCAACTTCGCTAGAGAGCCGGGCGAATGTCTTTCTTAACCAGTTTTATATTCCATTTAACTAAAGTATTTATAGTTGAAAGTGTTAAGCACCATCTCAAGTATTACCGACCCATGTAACGGACCAGCACTTTCTTTTCCTCTTGTACGCTGGACAAAATGATACTCTCTCCATCTCATACCTTTTCAATTTAAACAACTATCTGATATCTAAATGATACTCTCTCCATCTCATACCTTTTCAATTTAAACAACTATCTGATATCTAGTAAAAGAACTGTTCCATCAGTGGTTCCATGTAAAGCAGCCATCATTAAAGTCTGGATGTTACAATTATTCATCACAAGAAATCAGTTCTGTCGCCTAATTTTTCTAAAACTAGTTTAATCAAACATTTAACTTTCAACTTTACACTGCATACATGTCTGCTATTATTTTCTCTCACTGGCACTGGATAAAAGTCAAGCTATATCTGCCTCCAGTAAGGTGTTTACAAGTAAACTGTTTGTAATTTGTACCAAGCTAATGGTTATTTATTCTGTGTGATTAACTATCTTCTTTTCTCTACTGTTGATGCCTTGCAGCGTCAAGGGCAGAAATAGATATTAAACGGACCCTTCTGTTTGCTTTGTATAAAGTACTCTTCAGTGTCTGACATTTCTGCAGTCCATTTTCTGTGTGGTCGACCTCTGGCTCTGTTAGCGTCGTTATCTGTATGACACTACTTGCTGTGGTGCCCTGTCTGATGTTAATTTTGTTACATGGCCAAACCATTTGATTTGTTGTTTACCTATACAGTTCAGTATTGGTTCTGCGCTGACTCTCCTTCTGAAATCATTGTTCCTAAATCGATCTTTCCTCGTAACACCTAGCACAGTATGTAAACATTTTATATTTGTAGTGACAATTTTTCTTTGGTCTTCTGAAGACAGTATCCATGTTTCACATTGAAAGCATAACGGTAAGAATATTGTGTTGAACAGTGTTCTTTTAGTGTTCAAATTCACATGCTTGCATTTCAAAATTGGTGCCATTTTGCCTAAAAACTTGATTTGCTTTATTGCATCTGTGCTGGATTTCTTCATTAATTCTTCCATCTTCTGAAAAAATATTCCCTAGATATGTAATATATGTTCTTACGTTGTACTGCTGATGGTGCAATGATTGCCTGGACACTGGCAAAATTCATTCAGTAATTCTCTGAGGCTGTTGCCTTCATTGGTGTTAGCTGATTTACAAACTTTGTCATCGAATGTGATGAACCAGTAGCGGTGATAGAATGCACCCCCATCTCACTCCAGAATTAATGTAGACCTTTTCTGACATTCATGCATCTGTTCTAACTCGATCTAAAGCTTTCTCTTAGTTGAATGTGATATGTAATTATCTAATTCTACTGCGATTAACTAATTGTTAATAGTATGCCCCCAAAAAAAAATCAATAATCAATACCCCATTATATAAATTCATTGAGCCTTCAAAACATTAAAATCATCAATCAGCATATTCACTGCAAACTGTGTGGGCAAAAGAAAAACCATAATACTTAATTTTAACACTGACTTAGTTTATTTATCCAGTTCAACACAGCCTAAATAGGTGCCAGGATACCTAGTGGGTGAACTAAACCCTAATACCAAAAATCACACACTTATATAGTGTTAGTTTTTTAACATAAACTGAGTCAAGGCATGTCTACAATACAACTTGACTACACAAATCATCTGTGTGTGAACAATTATTGATATTTAAATGTAAAACTGTTCCATCAGTGGTTCCATGTACAGCAGCCATCATGAAGTCTGGATGTTTCTACAATTCATCATCACATGAAACCAGTTCTACTGCTCTAATATTTTCTTAAAGTTCCTGAAAGTGGGCAACAATGACCCCTGGGGAAAAAAGGGGGTGGGGTGGGAGAGGCTGGTATGCGCACACACTGGAGCGATCCCAGTGGGCGGTAGCAGCTTCGGTGTGACTGGAACAGGAGATCCCTCTAATGTTGTTGCAACAGGAGATCCCTCTAATTTTGTGGGACAAAGCTCAGAAGAACGGTCACCCTGGTACAAATAGTTTCACCAAACTAGCCATTGTTTTTTTATCTGCGTTCATATATGTTCTAAAATCCTACCTGAGCCAGCAACACCAACAGTTGCTGCTCCAGCACCAATATATTTAGCGGCCTGATCAATATCACGCTGAACTGCACTGGTCTGGAAAGATCGGATCTGTGGGGAAAAAATTAATACCTTGACATCAAATTGTGGTGCTGTTTTATGTACATATGCATTGCGATACAAAATTAATTATTGGCTATTTGCAGTTACCTTTTTGTGCAGATTCTATAACAGTTCGACCGCAGTGGATACTTTAATTCGCTGCTGTCTCTAGGGAACATTACATAATTAAGGTCCTAATCTCTTTATGCCACTATAGTACCACTGTCTGAAAGCCATAAAAATAGTCTTTTTCAGGAGTATATTCAACAGGTTAAACAGCAAAACTGTTCCATCAGTGGTTCCATGTACAGCAGCCATCAGGACAATCTGGATGGTAACAAGTTTTCATCACAAGAAACCAGTTCTGCTGTTATCTGCCTAACACAACTCTGCTGTAGTCTCGACTCTAGTCACTATTTCAAGCAGCCCAAAACCATCTTCAGGAAGCACTCATGTCTAAGGCTTTATGACTAGTACCAGAAAACTGCTCGTCAAAGCTTACTATCAGGGCTGTCTGAAGCAGCATTATAGTAACTGCAACATTTTTAGCTTATACCCATTCCAAACATGTCTCATGGCATGTGACTAAAAGGACAGCACACTGTGTTGTTTACAGCTAGGCTGCAAAATCTGCGCTTTTTGTCTAATAAACCTGATTTCAGACAAATTAATAATTACCTCTTTCGGCGTGCTTGTTAGGGGGAATGGATCTATTCTTTCTTCTAACAAACAGAAAAACCAGAGGCCCACCCAGCGAACGTGACTAAAACCAGCACCACTCCAGTGTAGACAAACATTTCTACCTTGAGGTGGTGCATGAATTAAATTTCAAGTAAATTAACCAGCTGCCACCTATATATAAAGCTTGTCAGCCACCCATATGGCTAACACACAGACAAGCCCAAACCCAGTCAGTCACTCATACAAGCCCACACCCAATGTCACAAATACAAGCCAACACCCAGTGTCACAAATACAAGCACACACCCAGACAGTCACACATACAAGCACACACCCAGACAGTCACACATACAAGCACACACCCAGACAGTCACACATACAAGCACACACCCAGACAGTCACACATACAAGCACACACCCAGACAGTCATACATACATGCCCACACCCGGTCACATAACCAACCTGTGTAAGAAGGGATGATGTATTGCTAAATCTGGATTCTAGATTCAAAGCTGAGATCCCACTGTAACTTGAGAGGCTGGCATTTGGTGCATGCTGTTTGATGTGAAATTGAAAGCACTTATTAGGGTAAATAGGTGTATGCAATATTATTTAACAAATTATGTGCTTCTTGTTTCTCCGTATGCTGCTCTTTTTCATATTTTTTAATTGTTAAGAATTGCTTACACAGAAGATTAAAATCACATATGCTCCTCTTAAAAGAGACATCAGAACAGACCCAAATCCAGAGCTGAGAATAGAAGGCCTAATTAATTTGGCAGGGGCAAATTATAGTAATCTTTAAAAAATCAGCGTGATATTTGCTACAGCAGAACCGTTCCATCAGTGGTTCCATGTACAGCAGCCATCACGACAGTCTGGATTGTAACAAGTTTTCATCACAAGAAACCAGTTCTGCTGTTATCAAAGTGCAAGACAAAAGCTACATGAAGTTAACAACATACTGAGTTTGCTAAACTGGTGCTGATTTAAATTTGATTTAACAAAGAATTCTAAGTAAAATGTTACAAACATTGTTTCAAGGTACACAATTTGAGTGCAAAAAACTCAAGTTAACTGATGCCTACAGCCTTCTTACAGTTTACAGCTATGTTGTAAAATTTGCCATTCACCTTTAACACATCCAGTTGCAGCAGAACCCTAATTGGTTGCCTTTTATAACCTGCTTGTTGAGGGACAGTGGGTCTATTTTCCCTCAAAAATGCATAATCAACTGGCAGGGGCAGATGACGGTGGTCCTGACAAGAGCCTGATCTAAAATGTGACAATACAGCAGAACTACTCCATCAGTGGTTCCATGTACAGCAGCCATCAGGATAAGTCTGGATTGTAACAAGTTTTCATCACAGGAAACTAGTTCTGCTGTTGTCTAACATAACATCTGAGTGCAAGACACAAGCTATCTGAAGCATCATCGATATAAACTGGTAACTGACTTGAATTACTCAGATGTAACAGTAAAATTGTAAGCAGATAAAGCTAAGTACAAAGTTACAAACTGATACATGTATTATGTGGAACACAACAGAATCAAAATTCTTTAAACAACCTGACAGTAATATGGTCTGATCTGTTTATAAATGTTGTGCATTATTCCACCTATGATCAGTTAACACAAATTTCTGCAACATATGGTGCTATTTTATAATCTAAAATGAACTCTGCCTATAGTTGTGGGTTCAAGCTGTACGACAAACATGACCAATGAAGAGAATTCCCAACATACTTTCCATCTCGTTAATAAATAACAAACTTGAGTTGTTTTTTTTCGAAGCTTCTAAATCAGAATGCAAAAGAAGCCTCCTATGATCTCATTTAACTGATGCCCAAAACCGTTGGTGTTTCCCTCTAAATGTTTGTTAACATATTGTGTTTTAGTCTAAGTTATGCTGCGACATATGCCTTTCAGCCCAACACATCCAGATGCAGCAGAACTCTTAATCAGTTGCCTTTTATGACATGTTTGCTAGGGGACAATGGGTTTTATTTCCTCCAAAAGAATGCCTAATTAATTGCCAGAGCAAGTGACAGTCTGAGAAGGAGAGGGAGCCTGATTTAAAAGGTGCCCAAAACGCAGCGAGACTTGAAAAACGCTACGCCCTCCGAGATCAGACAAGTGGAACACCTTGTACGGAGGAAAAGAACAGCTTGTGAAAACATGCAAATTCCACTACATGGCACTGGGCCAAAGCTCATGCGCCGCTGGATCAATAAAAACAACAAAAGGTGCCCTAATACAGCAGAACCGTTCCATCAGTGGTTCCATGTACAGCAGCCATCAGGACAATCTGGATAGTAACAGGTTTTCATCACAAGAAACCAGTTCTGCTGTTACCAAAGTGCAAGACAAAAGCTACATGAAGTTATCACCAACAAAGTGAGTTTGCTAAACTGGTGCTGACTTAAATTCGATATAACAGTGAAATGGTAAGCTAAGAAATGTAAGTAAAATGTTTCAAACCAATTGTTTTAATCTACTAAATTTGAGTGCAAAAAACTCAAGTTAACTGATGCCTACAGCCTTCTTACAGTTTACAGCTGCTATGTTGTGAAATTTGCCATTCACCTTTAACACATCCAGTTGTAGCAGAACCCTAATTAGTTGCCTTTTATGACCTGCTTGTTGAGGGACAGTGGGTCTATTTTCCCCTCAAAAATGCATAATCAACTGGCAGGGGCAGATGGTCCGCAGCCTGATCTAAACAGTGACAACTTAATACAGCAGAACTACTCCATCAGTGGTTCCATGTACAGCAGCCATCAGGAAAAGTCTGGATTGTAACAAGTTTTCATCACAGGAAACTAGTTCTGCTGTTGTCTAACATCTGAGTGCAAGACACAAGCTATCTGAAGCATCATCAATATAAACTGGTGACTGACTTGAATTACTCAGATGTAACAGTAAAATTGTAAGCAGATAAAGCTAAGTACAAAGTTACAAACTGATACATGTATTATGTGGAACACAACAGAATCAAAATTCTTTAAACAACCTGACAGTAATATGGTCTGATCTGTTTATAACTGTTGTGCATTATTCCACCTATAATCAGTTAACACAAATTTCTGCAACATATGGTGCTATTTTATAATCTAAAATGAACTCTGCCTATAGTTGTGGGTTCAAGCTGTACGACAAGGATGACCAATGAAGACAATTCCCAACATACTTTCCATCTCGTTAATAAATAACAAACTTGAGTTTTTTTTTTTCGAAGCTTCTAAATCAGAATGCAAAAGAAGCCTCCTATGATCTCATTTAACTGATGCCCAAAACCGTTGGTGTTTCCCTCTAAATGTTTGTTAACATATTGTGTTTTGGTCTAAGTTATGCTGCGACATACGCCTTTCAGCCCAACACATCCAGATGCAGCAGAACTCTTAATCAGTTGCCTTTTATGACATGTTTGCTAGGGGACAATGGGTTTTATTTCCTCCAAAAGAATGCCTAATTAATTGCCAGAGCAAGTGACAGTCTGAGGGGGAGAGGGAGCCTGATTTAAAAGGTGCCCAAAACGCAGCGAGACTTGAAAAACGCTACGCCCTCAGAGACCAGACAAGTGGAACACCTTGTACGGAGGAAAAGAACAGCTTGTGAAAACATGCAAATTCCACTACATGGCATGGGCCAAAGCTCATGCGCCGCTGGATCAATAAAAACAACAAAAGGTGCCCTAATACAGCAGAACCGTTCCATCAGTGGTTCCATGTACAGCAGCCATCAGGACAATCTGGATAGTAACAGGTTTTCATCACAAGAAACCAGTTCTGCTGTTACCAAAGTGCAAGACAAAAGCTACATGAAGTTATCACCAACAAAGTGAGTTTGCTAAACTGGTGCTGACTTAAATTCGATATAACAGTGAAATGGTAAGCTAAGAAATGTAAGTAAAATGTTCCAAACCAATTGTTTTAATCTACTAAATTTGAGTGCAGAAAACTCAAGTTAACTGATGCCTACAGCCTTCTTACAGTTTACAGCTGCTATGTTGTGAAATTTGCCATTCACCTTTAACACATCCAGTTGTAGCAGAACCCTAATTAGTTGCCTTTTATGACCTGCTTGTTGAGGGACAGTGGGTCTATTTTCCCCTCAAAAATGCATAATCAACTGGCAGGGGCAGATGGTCCGCAGCCTGATCTAAACAGTGACAACTTAATACAGCAGAACTACTCCATCAGTGGTTCCATGTACAGCAGCCATCAGGATAAGTCTGGATTGTAACAAGTTTTCATCACAGGAAACTAGTTCTGTTGTTGTCTAACATAACATCTGAGTGCAAGACACAAGCTATCTGAAGCAACATCGATATAAACTGGTGACTGACTTGAATTACTCAGATGTAACAGTAAAATTGTAAGCAGATAAAGCTAAGTACAAAGTTACAAACTGATACATGTATTATGTGGAACACAACAGAATCAACCAAAATTCTTTAACGTCCTGACAGTAATATGGTCTGTTGTGTTTATAACTGTTGTGCATTATTCCACCTATGCTCGGTTAACACAAATTTCTGCAACATATGGTGCTATTTTATTATCTGAAATTAACTCTGCCTATAGTTGTGGGTTCAAGTTGTATGACAAACATGGCCAATGAAGACATCAATTCCCAACATGGTATCCATTTTGTTAAGATATAAATTGAGTTTTTTTCCAAGCTTCTAAATCTGAATGCAAAAGAAGCCTCCTATGATCTCATTTAAATGATGCCCAAAACCTTTGGTGTTTCCCTTTAAATGGTTTACATATTGTGTTTTGGCCTTAGCTTTGCTGCGACAACTGCCCTTCAGCCCAACACATCCAGAGGCAGCAGAATTCATTAGTTGCCTTTTATGACGTTTGCTAGAGGACAGAGAAACTATTTTCCTCTGAAAATATACCTAACTGATTACCAGAGCAATCTGGATGGTAACAAGTTTTCATCACAAGAAACTAGTTCTGCTGTTATCTGCCTATACAACACCTAGCTATGAGAAGTTATTACAGCAACAATGAATTTCTCATTAAAGTCATGCTGACTTGAATCCAACAAACTCATGCTAATTTGAATCCTCTATTACATTAAGATTAACTGAATCAGTAAACAGTTAAATGGTAAACAGAGCAACCAACAGTTACGAACATCCATAGCCAAACTTGTATGTGTGTGCAAATTAGTTCACTTCAACTGAATTGCTGGAATATTCTCCTCCTTTCCTAACCAAAGAAGTAAAACAAACTCCTCATTATAATAATAATACTGCAGTATCATTTACACTTAAAACTACAAACTACATTATATCCTAATCTTTGTGACCAGTGTCAAAGTATAATGAACTAGTTACAAATAAAGACAAACAGCCCAGTGAAATGAGAAATAAGAACAAACAAATTACCTCTTGTTTCATAACCACTGTGCTGCCGATTGGCCGCAAGGCTACCCGGCTGAGGATGCTCTGTGAAGCAGACAAGCAATAGACATTATACCCTAGTACTCAATGGTTGTCAACAGAAATTATATACAACAGAAGGTCACTACAAAGTGTTTCAGGGAAAGTGTCCTATGCTTGAGATACAGGGAGGGAGGGGGGGGGGGGGGGGGGGGGGGGGTAATAAACCATCTACCAGCCAGAATGTTAGGGGGTAGGGGAATACTGATGAAGTAAAAGACAGTCCAAGTTTAGAATGTTACCATGACCTGCTCTGGAAGACCACTGACCGTGTCTCTACCTCAATCATGCTAATGCTTAGGGCTCGTTAAAAAAAATTCCTTGTGTTTACCATCTGTAAACTAGGAAAGAAAACCCTAGTCTGTCCACTTCTGGACTTTCGTCATGTTCAACAACTTTTATGCACATTTATTTGTTTGAACAGATCTGGCTTATTTTGTGTGCAGATTGTTGGTTCAAGTGTGAAGGAAAGCTTTGTCATACCTATGCTGGCCAGGTCCAGGTTGGAAACCTGCTTCTAGGATGACTGGAGAGATGCAGGCAGGTGTGGACCTGCATTAAAGTTAGTTGCGTATCCTTTACAGGACGTTGCAGAACCAACCCTAACAGCCCCTGGCTGTTGTGTGGTTTCTCTAGGCAATTTACATCCAGTAGTTTGCCATTGCTTTCTGGACGGTCAGCTTTCTTGATACCACTGCCGAAACCAACACAGGGCGCATTGCCTGCAGATGGGATCGAACCTGGCATCCCGGCATTACGAAGCGAAGCGTTCGCATCGAGTTAGCCACAGAGCCGACCGAACAGCATTAGCCCTGACTTTTGATATATCACATGTTCAGCATCTCTGCATCCCTTCTTTAATTCTACTTTATATAAATATACACTTTATTGTGTGGAAAATGGGATGAATTCAAGATGAGTGAAGAACAGAAATGTCTGGGCAACCACTATCAACAGTTATAAGACAAAGATGGTGCTATATCAGACACATTCTAAGAATAGACAGAGAATCATCAAACAAGCATTGAAATGGGAAAACTGGGGGATTGAGGAAATGACATAGAAACAAGGTGAATGTCGATAAGAGAAGCCAAAGGTGCTGTACTGGTTCTATTCATGATATCGTAGTGATTGCACAGGAAAGAGTGAAATGGAGAAAAAGACGGCAAGCCCTATCTGACATATAAAAGGGACAATGAATGTCTAAATTATCAGGGGCAGACAAAGAAAATAAAAAATGTCAAACAAATGTTACTTCAAAGCAACAGTAAATGTCAAAGCCCTCAAGATGTCTGGGATGCTGTAAATGGCAAATAGAAGAGGAACTACAAGAATAAGTTGTAGTTGCGAAATGAGACTGAATGTTTGTAACAGCTGTCTCAGAGATTTATGTACAGAAACTCAAGATACTGTCAGTAGTGACGGTTTTCTGAAAGAATGGTTTTAATGAACCATGAAAGTGCAGATACATAGGTAAAAACTGGGAGGAATTTGGTAAATGAACCACGACAGTGCCGATTTATGTAAGAGCAGTCAGAGTATGGTGTACAGGAAGATTATTCGCACTTGACCAGCCAATCACTGCCAGTTGTATCAATGATCTTTATCAATGATGCTGGCTGTCAAGCCTCTGGCCCAAAGCGATACCTACTTTCAAATGTTGGTCCCCTAGTTTAACAGCCATGGCATCTAGTGTGTAGGAACCAGGACAGTGTAAACATAAGTACACTTAACAGCTGTCTTGAAGAATGTGGATTGAGACAGCCAGCTGTTAAAGGGGAACCCAAACTAGGACAGTATGTTCACAGACAAATGAAGCTGAAAGACAGCCAGCTGTTAAAAGGGAACACAAACTAGGACAGTATGTTCACAGGCAAATGAAGCTGAAAGACAGCCAGCTGTTAAAAGGGAACACAAACTAGGACAGTATGTTCACAGGCAAATAAAGCTGAAAGACAGCCAGCTGTTAAAAGGGAACACAAACTAGGACAGTATGTTCACAGGCAAATGAAGCTGAAAGACAGCCAGCTGTTAAAGGGAACACAAACTAGGACAGTATGTTCACAGGCAAATGAAGCTGAAAGACAGCCAGCTGTTAAAAGGGAACACAAACTAGGACAGTATGTTCATAGGTAAATGAAGTTGAAAGACAGCTTAGGCGCCTTAGGAGAGAGGAGAAACCTCAAGGTCAGTGGGAACACACATCCCAGATGCACTTTTCAAAGTCATTAAAAGTCACGTCTCAGAGTCTTACATTTTATCCTAAGCAAATAAACTTGAATTCTTGATCTATTTTAATAATTAATAAATTAATGTAGAAGCTGAAAGAGGACTTGGATGAAGGGGAAGCACAACATTCTTCACATTTGGCAATCATTTGGTTTACTTTAAAAAAGTTTGTATGAAACAATTGTTTACATCACTAAAAAAATGCCTATAATTGTTTGAATTTCATTATTTAATAACAAGAAGGGGTATTTGACAAGGGAACTTCTATAGAATGCAACAAATAACGCAAAATCAGACAGGGTGATAATGTTCAGTGGCCCACAGTGGGTGAGGTCATTGTAGGTCATAGAATGAATGAATTTATTAAAGTACAAGGGTTATCTTATACCAACAGAAAATAATGCATAAATAAAGACTGTCTGATCAGCAGGAATGTTGCAGTACGGTAAAGTACTTGCTGAAATTGAAAGATCACGTTAAGAAACAGTTCATTTGCCCTTTCCAACCTTCCCCTTTTGCAAAAATCTAGGTGCATTTTCCTTTATTTTTTATTTTTTGCAAAGTATATAAAGTATAAAGAAACCGAAAACGGAATGAAAATACAATAGTTACTACCTTTTCTTTTAAGCAGTTACTACAATCATTGAAATAACTAACAGTAACTTACCAAGCATCGAGATGTGGGCTGAACGAACTTTGCACAGGCATACATGGTTAGGCCGATATTTTGGGTCGTCGAACCTGAAAGAAGAAAGCCGGTTAGATAAACTACAGACTAAACAACATATTCTACACTAATATCGACAATAAAACGTCCAAAATTTACAGCTAGCGCAGTAATATTTATTATTGTATATATGAAAAGAACCCTACGTCTTGATGCTACAAGAATCCCGGCGATAAACTACAGATTACAAACTATATAGTTTATCTACAACTTCTACCTAGAGGTGAAAATGAAGGAGACCAGGTCAACGCGCATGCGCTGTTAGTTACAGACACTTCCGCTTGGTGACGACAAAGGGATAATAAAAATATTACATTTGCGAAATGAAATGAAAAAATGTTTACATATAAAACAGAAATACATTTATAGCTTTTTTTTTTTTTTCTCAAAAGGACTTGGACTTGGACATTAATAAATGTGTGCGAAGAAATTCAGCAAACGTTTATTAATTAATCCAGACACATAATGTTTCCTGGACGCTCTAGAAACAAATCGTTTTAATATTTAATTCTTGGAATTGAATTAGAGTATGCTCACAGGTGAAATATTTACACCAATGTAAAAAGATGAGATACTCTTAGAAATCGCAATGGTGGAAGAAAGCGAGAGAGCTAGAGAAAGCGATATAAAATGAAGAGGCATTAAGATATTGACGAACGCAGCCTGAGAGTGTAAAAGCAAGACTAGATGATGCGGGTTGAATACCCATGGCAACCATGGGCGCCAAAGTCTCAGGTCAACAAGATACCCTGTTCAGTCTCCAAAGAAGTTTAAATTAGGGCACAGGGGTCGTTTACTACTCCACGTATTCAAGTGGTGGGGAGGAAATTATCTGCACCAACCTCAAAAATGGCAGACACGAGTCAATCCAACAACAGGGAACGAGTTGAAAGCTCACATATATAGGGAGTCAGGAGTCCGAAACCCAAGTTCAAGGTGTCTCCTTCGTGCCAAAGAACTGCAAGGCTGTTGGGTGAACAGTCGTTAACGAAGGCAGTTAGATCGTTGTTGTGGCGACGCTTGCTGGTGGGTGTAATGTCCTAAATCCATTCCCCCAGCTAATAGTAGGGTACTACTGGGGTGACAGTTTATTAACCCTCACATAATTCTTCAGGTCCAAATGGACACTAGGCACTGCCACTGTTTTGAGCCGAGGCATACATTTTTGCTTCTGCCAGACTGTGGCCGTTGCTTTTTCGCTCCATTTGTAGACAGGAAATATATAGTTTCGTTGCCTAGCTTCTGAGTTGAGTGCATGGCGTGACACTGTGAGCTGCGGATTTCATTTAGAATGTTTTTCGACTGACCAGCGTTGTGGTGTGATTCGTAGATTCAGAAAATGGCGCGATGCCGGTTGTCGCAATATTGGTGGGGCCATTATTTGATTAAAATTGATCGCGTGTGCAACTGCTGATCTTTTGGTAACTTCTGCAACCATCAATGATGAACTGCATTTCTAATGTCGGCCTGTTTGTGTTAGCACTTCGGATGGCTACCATATGCTTTTAATGCGAGTGTATGCTAGATTTGCCGAGACAGCAGTTTGTCAGTCTTTCCACAAGGGACTGTGATAAACATTCTGTGTGTTTTTCGTTGGCACAGGAGCGGCGCAAAGATGGGGTGACCCGTTTGCTATGAAGCTGAAACTAAAATTACCAGATTACCAGAGTTGAAAGCTGATTCTCATCATCATCGTGTGCCGTGCCGGTAAGCGTATGCTCTCATGTGTTGCCACCTCACGTGTGTTGCCATCTCACATGTATTGCCACCTCATATGTATTGCCACCTTACATGTGTTGCCATCTCATATGTATTGCCATCTCACATGTATTGCCATTTCACATGTGTGGCCATCTCACATGTATTGCCACCTCATATGTATTGCCACCTTACATGTGTTGCCACCTCATATGTATTGCCATCTCACATGTATTGCCATCTCACATGTGTTGCCATCTCATATGTATTGCCACCTTACATGTGTTGCCACCTTACATGTGTTGCCATCTCACATGTGTTGCCATCTCACATGTATTGCCACCTCATATGTATTGCCACCTCATATGTATTGCCACCTCATATGTATTGCCATCTCACATGTATTTCCATCTCATATGTATTGCCATCTCACATGTGTTGCCATCTCACATGTGTTGCCATCTCACATGTGTTGCCATCTCACATGTGTTGCCATCTCATATGTTTTGCCACCTCACATGTGTTGCCACCTCACATGTATTGCCACCTCACATGTATTGCCACCTCACATGTGTTGCCATCTCACATGTGTTGCCATCTCACATGTATTGCCATCTCACATGTGTTGCCATCTCACATGTGTTGCCGCCTTACATGTGTTGCCATCTCACATGTGTTGCCATCTCACATGTGTTGCCGCCTTACATGTGTTGCCATCTCACATGTGTTGCCATCTCACATGTGTTGCCGCCTTACATGTGTTGCCATCTCACATGTGTTGCCATCTCACATGTGTTGCCATCTCATATGTTTTGCCACCTCACATGTGTTGCCACCTCACATGTATTGCCACCTCACATGTGTTGCCATCTCACATGTGTTGCCATCTCACATGTATTGCCATCTCACATGTGTTGCCATCTCACATGTGTTGCCATCTCACATGTGTTGCCATCTCACATGTGTTGCCGCCTTACATGTGTTGCCATCTCACATGTGTTGCCATCTCACATGTGTTGCCGCCTTACATGTGTTGCCATCTCACATGTGTTGCCATCTCACATGTGTTGCCGCCTTACATGTGTTGCCATCTCACATGTGTTGCCATCTCACACGTGTTGCCATCTCACATGTATTGCCATCTTATATGTGTTGCCACCTCACGTGTGTTGCCATCTCACATGTGTTGCCATCTCACACGTGTTGCCATCTTACATGTATTGCCATCTCACATGTGTTGCCACCTTACATGTTTTGCTATCTCACATGTGTTGCCATCTCACATGTATTGCCATCTCACATGTGTTGCCATCTCACATGTATTGCCACCTCACATGTGTTGCCATCTCACATGTGTTGCCACCTCACACGTGTTGCCATCTCACATGTGTTGCCATCTCACATGTATTGCCATCTCACATGTATTGCCATCTTACACGTGTTGCCATCTCACATGTGTTGCCACCTTACATGTGTTGCCATCTCACATGTATTGCCACCTCACATGTGTTGCCATCTCACATGTGTTGCCATCTCACATGTATTGCCATCTCACATGTATTGCCACCTTACATGTGTTGCCATCTCACATGTGTTGCCACCTTACATATGTTGCCATCTCACATGTATTGCCACCTCACATGTATTGCCACCTTACACGTGTTGCCACCTCACATGTGTTGCCACCTCACATGTGTTGCCATCTCACATGTATTGCCACCTTACATGTATTGCCACCTCACATGTATTGCCACCTCACATGTATTGCCACCTCACATGTATTGCCACCTCACATGTATTGCCACCTCACATGTATTGCCACCTCACATGTATTGCCACCTCACATGTATTGCCACCTCACATGTATTGCCACCTCACATGTATTGCCACCTCACATGTATTGCCACCTCACATGTATTGCCACCTCACATGTATTGCCACCTCACATGTATTGCCACCTCACATGTATTGCCACCTCACATGTATTGCCATCTCACATGTATTGCCATCTCACATGTATTGCCACCTTACATGTGTTGCCATCTCAAATGGATCACCAGAATCACAGACCCATTCATTGTTTTTGTCTCGCGCCATCCATCTGGCCAAGCCATCCAGGTATTTATCTCTTTGCCTTCCTCTTGCTCTTTTCCCATTAATCTTGCCAGCTGTTACCAAGTTCTCGAGTCCATTTCTCCTCATAACATAACCACACACACACAAATTGGTCCCACTAGGGAATCACAGTGAGCGATAAACACCTGGTGACACAAAGTGCAACCATTCGGACGAGGATCTCCCGTGGAGAGGTCCTAGAAACCCTGTTCAACCGTTATGTTATATCAGGGCCCCCGGCAACAACCTGCAGGTTGAGGCTTCAAAATAACGAACAATTATTCTTCCCGTCATGTGGACGGGGGTTATAATTCAGTAAACGTCACCAAGCTTTATATATATATATATATATATATATATATATATATATATATATATATATATATATATATATATATATATATATATATATATATATATATATATACGCGTTTCCATCAAGCTAGCAAGGATAATAACTCTTTTTATTAACAGTAAAATCACATTTTATTCATTATATCCCTTTGCAAATTTGACTGCGGTTTGGGTAACGATTCCCGACCTAAACAGAGCGTATTTGGGCTTTCATAAATGCTTTGTAACCTTTAACACGCGCTAGTCTACGTTAGACGGGAGTCAAGTTGTGTTCCGTTATGTATGTATTGAGCGTCCTGTAAGCGACCAGGTCATCATCCTGTAACACTACGTGTTGTTCGGTCACAAGTTTCTGACTGTCTGATCATCTCTCTCCAACTTTGGCGGTCAGTTGCGATTGACTGCATGGTTGTATTCCTCAGGCCTGTCCAGTCAGTTAGGTTCTGCAACCAGGTCTTTCTTGGTCTGCCTCTTCTCCTCTTTTCCTCGACTGAGCCCTGTCCAATCAGTCAGGTTCTGTAACCATGTCTTTCTTGGTCTGCCTCTTCTCCTCTTTTCCTCTACTGAGCCCTGTCCAGTCAGTCAGGTTCTGTAACCAGGTCTTTCTTGGTCTGCCTCTTCTCCTCTTTTCCTCAACTGAGCCCTGTCCAGTCAGTCAGGTTCTGTAACCAGTTCTTTCTTGGTCTGCCTCTTCTCCTCTTTTCCTCTACTGAGCCCTGTAATATTGATTTTAAGAGGCCGTTAGATCTTAATACATGTCTATACCATTGCATTTTTCGCTTTTCACTGTAGTTAAAAGAGGTTCATAGTTGCCTTGC